TGAGCGCAGAGGTTGGGGTAAGCGGGCTGCGAGGCCATGCAGGGTTGTGAGACGAAGGGCGTTTGCCGAGTGGCCGCCTGCACGGGAGTTTGAGCCCGAGGAATTCGGGCTGCAGGGCAGAATCTGCTGGATCAGTGCGGGCCCCGGGAGGCCCTCCGGAGCCTGGCCCGGGGGTCTCGAGTTTGAGGGAACTGTCAGCCAGGAGGCCTGTGGCTGCAAGGCCTGAGCAGCCAGGCAGCAGGCTGGTGGTGCCTGACACAGCAAATGACGAGGCGCAGCTCATAAATGGTATCTGCGAGAATGTTCAGTACCCTGTTGAAGTCCCAAATCTAAGCTAAATTAGAGCTGAAACAAGGTTAAAACTAATTAAGTTGCTTAAAGATGAAACACATCTGCTCAGTTGTGTCAGCGCTGGGTTGTTTTTTTTCTCGTGATATCTCTTACTCTTGCTAACAAGCTGTGGTCATCCACGCAGAAGAGGGAGGAGAGACAAGATGCCATGAGGTATATGTACACTGTCACCTGCGGAAGCCCGAACACGACACCAGTGTAATAACTGTATGTCAGATGAGTGGAGTAAGCTGGAACACAAAGAACAAGCAAATAGCAATATGGATATTAGATCTGGGTTTAACCATGTGCAAAATGACCTAAAGGAAGCAAGACTTTAATATGAGTCACCACTCCTGTCTGTGGTTGGTCAAATTAATGTTTCTGCACTCTAAGCCCTAAAAAAACTCATCCTAATTAAGTATTCATGCACCTGATGGGAGCCAGAGCGCTACAGGTATGGCTGTGATGAAGGCTCTTAAATGGGGAAAAGTGTTCAGTGTTCACCAATAGCGCTTCTTTTCTGAGTTGTATGATGTTTATTCTTTGCACCAAGATTAAGATTTCAGTTGTCTGTCCAATCCTGTCATATTCTGCTGGTTCTCCTTCCCCTTTTTGCCCATCCTTGTACACTTTTATCTCTGTGAAATTTGGGACTTTTTGTTACGTGTGTGGTAGACTGCATCTCTGTTCTTATTTGAAGCTTGTCTTTCCTAAAGAAATACAAGCCAAACCCATAGGTTTCCATTAACTTTCTCGTAAGCCAAATCAAATTATATTGGTCACTGTCAGTTAATGCAGGACATGCACATCTACAGATAGGACTGAAATTATCTCAGTGGCCAGTCTGACCTCTGACAGCCACCCTCTGCTTCATATTTTTAGCACTTACCTGGAAGAAATGAAGTCATAGCCTGCAAGGTGATTTGCGCAGTAAATAATTAAAAAACAATTTTGAAGATAGTTGGCTGCTACACAGTAGTTTTCATTGTTCAGTAACTGATTTTAATTACACATTATGGACTTTAATTCATTCAGATGCAATGTTGTCTAGGAACAGAGAACGCATGTGTAAGTTGCAGGATGGACAATGTCTGTCTAGTGGAAAGCTTTAGTACTGAGAAGGACTTTTTATGTAATAATTGGCAACCAAAAATGTCTGGAGCACCAGTGCAGTTTGTAGCATAAGAACAGTTTAACTGTTAGTTGGACAACATGCAATTCTACTATCAGTGTTTTTAAAGGGATGCTGAAAACTTGTGGAGGACAGCTAGAGGTAAGAAAGAATTTTGTGGGCTTACAAAGCTATTTCATAGTGGGAACAGACCACCTACTTAATTTATCAAGACTTAGCAGGCAGTAATATCTTTGAAGCACCCACAGAGACTTAAGATAATACTGAGGTCTAGTAGAATGGATGAATGTCTGTTAAGCTTCGGTCACTGCAGGGTGAACTTGGATATTCTCACACTGGAAATAATACTAATTCTTAAGAGAATTTTTCATATCAGGTGGAGTTGTGGTATACTGCCTTGTAAGTAGCATTTTCTATATTAGTTGTCATTTTGAAAGAATTTGAAACTGTGCAGATCTGTTCTTACGCCATTTCCAGCTACATGTCCCTCTTTTGTACTCTGCTTGTGTAAAGATAAGGCTGAGGAGAGATCTGTTTTTCTGACTTGACTCCTATGAACTGCTGGGGAAGTGAACCTGCTTTGCATTCAGCCTCTCAGGCCTTGTGCATATGTGGGTCCAACCGTGTGCAAGGCTTTTACTACTGTGCGCAAGAAATAAGCCTTAGCTATGTTTGGGGCCTGTATTTGCAGTTCATTAGCCTGTCTTGTTCTGCTCTAGCATCTGCACAGAGCTTGGAATACGTCTTATATTTGCAGCTGCCTTGGTGCAGCATGCATCTGATTGGCACTCATCTCATCTCATCTCGATTTCGGCCTTGTTGCACGTATCTGCTTACTGAATCTCTGAGGGGTTGCTGGAAGCACTTTGCACTGGGCTGCAGGGAAGTCTGGGAAGGCAATATAGCAGGAGAGCGAAGTAAAGCGGTCATTTGCTCTGACATTCAAATCTCTGCTTTGACTTGAATGGATCAAACCTTTATGCAATGTAGGGCACATTTATGAGTACAAGCAGCGGAGATTTTATAACAATAAGAATTCATAGAGTAGACACATCTGTGGAGTTTTAACATGGGGGGATTGGAATCCCAATACATGGCCTAAAGGCAATAGCATTTGAACAGGAACTCACAAGAAAAAATTAAAATGACTGAGTGAGATTCAGAAACTTCTGTTGGTAACCTTTTAGAATATCTTGCATAGAGGTGCTGCTGTCTTTCATTATGAGTAACTCATCTGTACATAAAAATGACAACGCAGAGATATTCAGGCGTATGAGATTAAATTAGGTCATAGTGCAGAATAAAATTTGTCTGTCGTATGACTTCAGGTTACAGGCAGAGCCAAAGTAACAGATCTTTCATGCAATACGTGAAAGTCGTAATTAATGAAAACACAGAGGTAAAATGAAATATTTTCAACAGAATCTTTTTGCATATTACAGTAGACGGTTCTAACCTCTCAAGAAGATTAGACAAGATTTGTGAAGGTGAGTAAAAACCTAATATCACTAAACCAAGAATTATTGTATAGGTGACAGACAAGCACAATTCTACATTTTTGAAGCAATAACAAACTAAGAATTCAGCATACACTGGAAATACAAATAATTTTCTATTTTTGTACAAATCAAGATGTGTTTCACTGCGACATCTTAATCAATGACCAGGACAGTTGGACAGAATGCATCTTTATCAGGGTTGCAGATAACACCAAAATGGGGGGAGCAGTCAACACACAGGAGGGTAGGCAACCACGTCTTGTCAAAACCAGTGTTTTGCCAGAAAGCAACCAGGCTTAGCTCCCTGTACTACTGGCTAAGGGAGTCTGTTTGTGGTTTTTTTGACAGACTATTGGAAGCCTGTAAGAATTCAAGTCATGTCTCCAGAACTGTATTTGGTAAAAAGTTTCTGGTTACGAATACCCAATCTAAGTTTTCTGTCTGCTTTAATGTGTGTGGGTAACCCATGAAGCAGTTCTTTGTTCTTAATGTGCTAGAAATGCAGGTGCGTTGTAAGGAGTATGAAAGGCATTCTCCCCAAATTAGTATTAAATTTAGTGACTGCAAGGGAAGAAGCAATTTTGCATGAACAAAACAGTGGAAATTAAAATGTATTAGTGTGCTGGCATTTTTTGCCATTAAGAACTTGGTTTACTTGCTTATAATCCCATATGGCAATACTTTATAGTCTCATGTACTCTTAATTGCTCATGCATGGTTCTCTAGACCTATGTTTTGTGGCTGGTAAAATTGTTCATCTCTGTTCAAAAGAAACACTTCTTACCAGTGTTACTCACAGGACAAGAAACTCCCAGTCTTCCATACTGAGAACAGACAAGGTTCTGTGGTTTTTATTAGAGAAATAAAAGAGGCTGATCTTAGCGTCTCTCTGCTATTTGGAGGAACTGGCATTTCAACATTGAACATGATACAGCTGGAATGAAATGTTAAGGATGGGAGACATCCAAGGACAGTTTGGAAAGAGAGAAAAAAATAGCATACAAATACTGTCTTTTTCAGCTCTGGCTGTGTAAGAAAATTATGTATAAAATCTGAAAAAGTCATTCACAGGGAATGTATGTGCCTCCACAGGAGCCAGTCTGTGTTGCCAGATTCAACCACGATTCCAGGACTTGAGTTCCTATTTGTCCCAACCACTATCAGATATATACTGAACTATATACTATTACTTAAACCATATACTCACCTCACTAAGCATAGGAACTCACAGCTGAATGAACACTTTTTGTTTTGGCCTTACACTGTAGGATTTACTTTTTTGTTGCAAGCGGAATTCCCCGGGCACTGATACTTGTTCTCTGGCACAGATGATGTCCTGCCAGATGGAAAATCTGTGAACATTTGTTTGGGTAGTGAAGTCTTTACAAATATTTGGCTCATTGCCGTAGTTGTTTGGCACAGACAGCAGAATATGTAGAAGCTTCACTCATGCATAAGGATTTATCTGTTTACACAACAATTTAAGGGGTGAACAGTCATTAGGAGAAAAGGAATGCTCTAGATGTTCATATAGCCTTGAATTACACAAAAATTGTGAGTGAATGCACTCAGAGTTTTATATAGATATAAACCAACTAATCTGGGTATTTATTTTGATGTTTTTAGAATAGCTAAGTGTCCAGCCAAAACCCATAGGTGCATTTCCATCTTTTAGAAACTTGTCCAAAAAGATACTGCACAAATGCTTATCTGGAGCTCAGCTTAATATAAAGACTCCTTGTATTCACAGTTTATGACTTGAGCCACAAGGACTTTTTCTAAAAGATCTCCGTTTCCACGTCCAATTAGACACATAGTGAAAGCTGCCTTTAAAAACAACAAAGGGATTTATGTCTCTTTAGGCTACTTTTTTTCACAAAGTGTGCAGGAACTGAGTTCTCTTTTGACTAAAGCCTTCTGTCACATTCTGCTGATGTTGACCGGTGGGCTCAGGTTTTACTAGGAGGCCACATGGTGTGATAAAACATACGATTTTTTTCTTTCCAGGAAAGTGAAGCAAATATTGGGACAGACATATGGAAATAATCAGACTCAGAATGAAAAGTGGTGGGTTTGTGACAAAAAGCAGTCCATGATCTCCTCATATTGTTTAATGGTTATGTCCTCTTACTATAGATTGCATTCCAGTGCACAAGCAGAGATTTGTGCATGGTGAGTCGTGTTCCTAAGCAGATGGATTGTTTGCCATTGCACAACCTGGAACTTTTGTCAGAGCTTATGGCATTATTACTGGATCTAATTCATTGTCATCATTAAGCCTGAAAGGCGTGATTGTTATGCATCATCCTGCTCAGTTGTTCACTGATAGGATAGGGTGCTCCTTTCGTCACTTACAGATGGGAGCAGGTGGTTTTGCTGCTATTATTTGATAGAACTGAGGAGCTGGAAAGGGCTTAGCTGAGCTAAAAGTACTGAATGCTTTTTTAAGCATCTTAAACGTCACTCATCTGGATTCTTTTCTATATTTTCCATTTTCCATATTGATTTCAGCTAAGACACTGAGAGTTATATTACTTGTGATGAAAACACCGAGTGGCAAAGACTGAATTATATCGCTATATCACTGGCCTTTGGATACCTTGCCAGATCTTTGCATGACTTCATAGATGTTGAATAGCACAGGGACAGGGGACTATGCCTCATAGGAGTCTTCAGATGAGACCTTTGAACATGCAGGAACATTTACTCATAGTTACTTTCTATCTTCCTGTGTCCTGAGAAGGAGCCAGTGTTTTTTCACAGTGGTTAATACTGCCCACTAAAATGTCTGTTCTTCTGGACTGTCTGCTAGAGTAGCAAGTACTGCTTACCTCGCCCTGCAACACTGGTAGCTGACAGTGGAGGCTTTTTGTAACTGGTTTTTGGATTATCATATGTAGATAACAGTCAGTCTTAGATGTTACTATGCTGGGCTTTCTGTTATCTCCAGTATTTTCTTACTTTGAGACTTCTGTGTTCAGAAAGAGTTATAATTTTATGCCAGGGTGTAACAGATTAAATTTCATGTGTGCTCTGCTCAGTTGTCAGCCAAGGAAGTAGCGTTCTCTCGTGTACAAGTAGTGAGCATGGCTCTAAATAGTTCTGTGAATTTGTAATCTGTGGCTATTTGTTTCTGGGCACAGTGTATTTGGCATCTGTTAACAAAAACTCAAAGGTTTTTGTTATCAGTACCTTCTGGGGACATCATAAATACTGAGATGATTCACCAAGTTCTAATCATTTTCTTGACACTTTTTATCATGCAGGTTCATAGCCAAGAACATTATGAGGCTGCAGCGTCTGGGGATAACCCATGTTCTGAATGCAGCAGAGGGGAAGTCATTCATGCATGTGAACACTAATGCAGAGTTCTATGAAGGCACAGGCATCAGATACCATGGCATTAAAGCTAATGATACACAAGAATTTAACCTCAGTCGCTATTTTGAGGAGGCAGCTGATTTTATTGAGAAAGCACTTTCCCAGAAGGATGGTAAGGCAAACTGAAATGTCTTTCTACCATGTTTTCTGTGCACTGCCTATGTTTCTTAGCAATTTATTTTACTGTTTGAAATGGTTCTTTGCTTAGATTATCAGCTGAACAACCAAGTCAGGAATTCAGATGAAGGCTCTGGATCAAAGGCACCAGGATACACAATAAGAGATCTTAATCTTCTGTCTATACATGTAGGTCTCCGGTATATGGCAAATGGAAGTCTGTCATTGCAGGGGTGGCTTTGAAAAGTGAAACAGCTGCTGCATCTAATAATAGTGCCTTCCTGGGAAGATGTGTTCTTATTTTTCCTTAGAAGTGGTAAATCACATGAAAAAATAAAATTAAAAAAAAAAAGTTCAGGATCTATTAAATTTTTATAGGACACTAGAAATTATAAATTAAAGGCAGAAGTGATACAAGTAAAGCATTGCTGAAGAGTACTCACACAACCTGCTATATGGTGGGGTTTTTTCCGACATGTACAGTAAGGATAGGGATTGTGGCCTTACAATTTTTATTACATTAAGTTATTAAATTATTTTATGTGATGATTACCTCATTATTCCCTAGGATTGCAGGAATACTGGAGATTATATTTGCAATGTTGTTGGTTACCACATTTCTCTACAGTGTGTTTTCTCACAGCAGCAATCCTAGGTCATAGTGCAGTGGGCCAGACAGTGTTTGTTGTTGTCTGACTACTTCAGCACACCAGTTATTTCTAGACATGCTTAATTTCTTTCTTGCTTCATGACTCAACATGAAAAAGGAGAAACACAAACTCCCACAATTCTAGAAGTTCTTCCTCTGAAATGGGCAAAAGGGGTACTAGAGCTGTGATGTGCCTTTGACAGATGGAAAGAAATTTTACCTCCAGTTTGGTGGAATATGAAAAATTATAAAAATTGAAATGCGACTCTTCCAGTTAGCTTTATGACTCACTGAAACAGGTTACAGTAGGAAAGAAGAGTTTAACAGTGCCAGCTATGTCATGACTGTCCCTGCTTAGTTTGATCTAAACAGTTGTAGAGTCAATCTGAATTTACAGTAGCAGTTCTGTTTGCTGATTTTTTCAGTCTTACTAGTTGTCTACCATGCCTGCCACTGTTTTCTTACTGTGGTAAGCAAAGAGGACCTTTGTAGCTGGGTGATGCTGGAGCCAGTTTTAACATTAGCTCGCTACTGAAATTTGATAATTTTGTTTTGATTATGAAGTGTAGAGCAAGCACAATGAAGAGGGATGCAGTAGTATTTTCCTTCAATTTCATTTTAGCATTGTTGCATGAAGTTCTGCAACGCCACCCTTAAGACACTGCCTTTTACAGAGGCAGGCTAGAAACCCTTTTGCTTTTGATCATTTGCAGAGGGGAAGGCAATTCTTTTCCATGTATATGATAAAAAATCTCTAAATCTTGCTAATTTATGGCTACAGGCGCTCAATAAATGTTGAGAATGAATTGGTTTAGCTGTTTAACTTGCTACTAATTAGAGAGTTGCCTTGAGCTGAGAAGCCTCTGCAGCTCCAGGCAAATGTGGTAACAGGCTTTCTGTTGCTGTGGTTCAAAACAAGTTGTGGTTGTGATGAAAATGTGTGTGTGTATGGTTCATCTGTTCTCTCGTCTCCGAAAACAATTTATTCTGGAGGGTAGCCTGGGGCCATATATCCTGGGGCTGCCTTTGGGAAGTGAAATATTTTTGTGTCTGGAAAAGCAGGTCAAAGAGGAAGCAGCTGAGAAGCAATAAAATCAAGTTAAATTTCTCAAAGGGAGCAGTGGCCTGCTTTATTATTGTTGGATACCTACCTACAGGATTTACCCATGTGGTGGGTTAACCTTGGCTGGATGCCAGGTGCCCAGTAAGCCATTCTATCACTCCCTCTCCTCAGCTGGACAGGGGGAGAAAAATATGACAAAAGGCTCGTGGGTCAAGATAAGGACACGGAGATCACTCAGCAGTTACCGTCATGCTCGACTCGACTGGGGAAAATTAATTTAATTATTTGTCAACCAAGTCAGAGTAGGATAATAAGAAATAAACCCAAATCTTAAAACACCTTCCCCCTGCCCCTGCTTTCTTGCTTCTACTTCACTCCCACTTTTCTCTTCCTCCTCCCCCCGAGTGGTACAAAGGGATGGTGTATGGGGGTTGCGGTCAGTCCATCACACATTGTCTCTGCTGCTCCTTCCTCCTCACTCTCTTCCCCTGCTCCAGCGTGGGGTCCCTCCCACGGGAGACAGTCCTCCATGAACATCCCCAGCGTGGGTCCCCCACGGGGTCTCAGGTCCTGCCAGCAGACTTGATCCAGTGTGGGCTCCTCTTCACTGGGTTACAGGTCCTGCCAGGAGCCTGCTCCAGCCTGGGTCCCCACAGGGTCACAGCCTCCTTTGGGCATCGGCCTGCTCCAGCATGGGGTCTTCCACGGGCTGCAGGTGGACATCTGCTCCCCTGTGGGCTCCGTCGTGGCGCCAGCTGGCACTGGCTCCGTCAGACACAGGGAAAGTTTCTGGCATCTTCTCACAGAAGCCACCACTGTAGCCCCCCCAGTACCAAAACTTTGCCATGCAAACCCAGTACAACCCAACAAATACATAGAGTGAGTTCCCTAATCAGTTAGCTGGAAGCATTTTGTTGGTGCTGGCATAGGTGTGATTAGATGTTTCATGTTCTTGTTGCTGCACAGTCAGCAGTTTCATTTACTGGAGTGTTAAAGTGGCTTCATAAATAGCCAGAGAACTAGCCAGGTATGATCCAACATGGAGTTAGCATAGGAATTGGCAGCAATCCAGCAAAAAGTCAGGATATCTTTGAAGAGATGCAATATATGACAAACAGCATATTTCTCTGTCTTCAATCTATTTTAAACTTTACATAATTTATTTGTGCTCTTTGCTACTGGTCATCTTTAGGGGTAAGGCTTACTCTAAACCACAAAAGATTGGAGAAGTGTAGTAAATAGACACAGTTTGACTCTTTGTAGTATAGGAGCAAATATATTTTAGTGTGAATGTTTTATATACAACCATTTTTTTCTGTGTTATCCTTGATGACTACCTTTCTTCCAAGTTCTATATGTCTTCTGTAGCATTCAGAGTTTACATTTCTCAAGCTGCTGAAGGACTAATATTATCACGCTTTATATCCTAGCTATTTCGTGTTGCTTTTCAAACATATATTCCAGTATAACCCAAATTATAACCTGTCTTCCCTGCAGGACAAGTGTTTGTGCATTGCCGTGAGGGCTACAGCCGTTCTCCTACACTGGTCATCGCCTACCTCATGCTTCGCCAGAACATGGATGTCAAGTCTGCATTGAGCACTGTCCGGCAGAAGCGAGAGATTGGCCCCAATGATGGCTTTCTAAGGCAGCTTTGCCAGCTCAATGAGCAGTTAGTGAAGGAGGGCAAACTGAAGCCCTAGAGCAGAGCACTGTAGTATTTTGAAGTTTCTCAGACCATCAAAGGACATCTTAGGTGCTTCAGATTCCCAAACCCCAACCACCAAGCTAAGTCACATAATGTGAAGGAGACAGAAATCCTGCTATTGTCTAGTGAAAGTATCTTTCTCAATCTCTGGATCTGTCTTTCAAGATGGCACAAAATTGTGTCACTGTTCAGAGCTGTTGCAATAAAGAGGTGTTTACAGAGGAGTAACTCCAGTGATAACCGCTGTCCTCACATGTATTTCAGAGCCCCCTGCAGACTCTGTAGCGTATGTGGTTTGCATTGACATTGAGTGTGATTCATTTAAGCCTTGTCTTGTATCCCACCAGAGCACCACTTTCTGAGAGCCTCCTCACACTCTTCACTCATTCTGAATTGAAGTACTGTATTTTCTAAAGCTTCTTTTTGATGCACACAGGTGCCTAAAGTTTGAATGTAGGAGCTTCTTTTTTATGCACACAGGTGCCTAAAGTTTGAGTGTAGGAGCTCCAAAGAATGAAGAAGCCTATATACAAATGCACAGATGCACTCGCTTGTAAAATGAAGTGTATGCAGTGTTGTGTTTCATGTGGGTTTATGCAACACACAGTGTGTGGTAGTAAAGCCATTCAGAGCCCAATCTTGATGCACACTGTATTTCCAAGAATATTTGTACCCCTTGCTGTTGTGACTGGCGTGAGATGACCTGATATTAAATGCTCTTTTATTTTTGTTTTGAAGTCATACTAGAAAAAAATGTCAAGAGCAAATGTTGAGGAAAAAACTTGAGCAGGGAAGAAATAATGTCTGTATTTAGGAGTGCTTGTACTGGATGTATGATAAAGTCCTAAGTATCAGAATATAATGGCTCCTGAGACTTGTATTGAATTATAGTGTCTCTCTCCCTGCTTTACTATCACTGTTTATTAACATATTGTGGAATGAGCACATAGGCAGATTACTTCCAGTAAGGCAGCACAGGTGTGCTTACAAAGCAGTTTGCAGGAGTACGCTCTTGACTTCTTGAATTGCTTGTATGTCATCATTAAATAGAAATGAGCATTGTTATGTACCACATGGAATAGGAAACATTTCCTTTCTATTAAAATAAATTATATCTTGATTCTGTTTGACATAGAGATTAAATGAGTCATTGCAATGTTTGGAGAGGGAGCTTTTTTTACAGTATGGCTGAGTGAGTGTGTAGATGTATTAGTTACAGCACTGTATTAATGCAAAGGATCTCCCGCTGCAAACTCGGAATTGTTGGTTAAACTAACAGAACGTGGGATGTATGTGTTCCATTTTTATCTGTGCTTTAATGTAGTTCTAGAATGAAAATCTTACCACTATTTTAAACAGAAACACTGTTGCATTAGTAACACATGTAAGCCCAGATCTAGTTTTGTAAATTCAGTTCACTAATCAAAAATCACAAAGGACGTATTTTGGCTTACTTCTGGTTGTTGGGGTTGTGTGGTTTGGGGGGGTGGGAGCAGCAGGGGGGAGTTCTGTATAGCTAGGTTACTTTCTTGAAATTGAACTCCAGAGATGATTATTCTGGCTGAAAACCAGGCTTATTTCCATTTCCTTGCACAGAATGGGAACTGCCAAGTCAAGTAACATTTTCTCTTTTGTGTCGTTTAAGGGGACAACTGGGGAACAGTCTACATAGTGTTTCCTTTCAGCTGCCTGCAGTCAGTGTTTAGTGCTTGCTTTGAATCAGGATGGTTCAGCAATAATGAGCAGCAGTCAGTTTCATTGGCTAAGTACCTGCCTGATTGCTTTCTCCCATTCTATCAGTATTAAATTAATTGCTTCTTCAAAATTCCTAGTTACTAATTTCATGCTGTGTAGCTTGGGGAATATGAATACTGGCCTTATCTTTTCTACTATGCTGACTTTTTCATACTGCAGTCTTATTTATAAATCATCCTTTTAAGACTTTTACTATGGGCATAGATTTTTTTTTTTTCTGTCGTCTTGTCTCACGCCATGTATTCATGATACCTATCTGCACTACAAGAAGAAAAAACAAAAATACGGAGATTCACGTGCATGCACTTTGTCTTTGACCTGTTACTTAGAACTCAAAAATTCCAGTCCATTAAAGAGCTAAGAAATCATTAGGCATTAGATTTTTGTTACTCTTCCATAGATTGTAAGAAGGCTAATAGTTGTCAGATTAAAATCAGAATGGTTTATTTAAATTGAGTCTGTTTGCCTCATGGTGATGTTTTTGTATTTGTCAGTATCAAGAAATACTGGCAAATCAAGACATACAGGAATTTCTTCTTATAGTCTAGATGTTATTTTAATTTATAGGACACTGCTCACTTCTAGTGGTAACTTCAGTGGTACTTCAAGGTTATTTATAATGCTTGTTTTCATCATTTAAATATTTTCATTGAGCTGTGTTCTGTTGTCCAGAACTAATTAAATCTCTGATGCTAGAACTAGAAGCAGGATTTTTGCCCCTTCTCTTTTTAAAGGAGTTCTGCTAGTTTAATGTTTTTAGCATGGAGGGACTATCTAATGGAATCTCACTTACTATAGCACAGAGGTTTCTTCCAAAATTACTTTCTGGGCTTCACCATTGAGTAAAATTGAAAATAGAACAGACTTCAGAGGTATCTTCTAAGGATTTGTTTGTGAGAATTCGTATCCTAGTAGTTTTTTCTATTCTGCAAATAAATGCTGGAAATCAATAAAGTGTTGGGGTTTTTTTTAATTATAAGTCCAGTGTGCCAAGGTTGCTGGCTAGCTGACTCACCAGATGGAGCTGTAGGCTTGTTATTCTTCACTAGATAGTCATCATTCCATCCCTGAACAATGCTATTGTGTGAATGTATTGTATTCTTGTCTTGTCACTGAAAAAGGCAAGCCACCGGAATGATATATCAGTGCGTTTGCTAGGCTCGGGTGGGAGAACACTAAAATTCCATTTATTCTTGGCTGCTTGGAGGAAATCACATCATAGCATTAGACTGATATTCACAGGGTAGTATGTGACTCAGCAAAATTTTTATGAGACACATAGAAGTTGCTTGGGCAATGGTGGCTTAGCAGCATCTTAGAAAAAGAACTGCTTGAGGAGCAAACAAGTTCTTCTTGAATTTGTCAGAAACTGAATTCATGGGCAGTGTGTAAATTATGAGCCATTGTCCACAGATAAGCTTAAATTGCATACATATGTCTTAGGGCCTGGATACCTAACACAGCACCCCTTGGTCCAGGTGTGGGCAGAGGGGTGTGCATAGTGAGCACCAGAAGTTACGAGTGACAGATCTGATTTCAGAAACTGGTTTATATGTGCATGCCTTCATAGTAGAATCTTGCAGTGCAAGCACATCAGGACAGAAGTCCGAGTCCAGAAAGCAGCAGCAACAGACTCAGGCTAAATACATGATGCCAATTTACTCCTTGTACCTGCTCCCCTAATATGTCTGATTCCTTCTTAGCATGGGTAAGGGTGGTGTTTTTTTCAGCTCAGAAAATAGCATCCCAGTTCTGAATACAGAGGATCCAAACTCAGTTCCACCCTGGTGGGTGAGGATTCATTCTGAAAGCCTCCTTGATATGTCCATTTTTTTTTTCTTTCTCCTGTGCTTCATTAACAGTGCAAAAATCAATTGTCTGGGGAGGGACTGCAGCCCAGACCATGTCTGCTTTCTTGCAGAAAGTACTATGAGCAGGCCAGCAGCTATAGGGCGTGGAAGAATGTTTTTGCAGTTAAGGGATCTGAATGTCTATGGGATTCGGATTCTTTTCTTGCCTCTGTTAGGCTGCTCTCCTAGCTTGTGAGCAGGAAGTTTTAAGCCGGAGGCTAAATATAGCTGCTGATTTTTACTTTCATATGTTTTTTTATATTATTTCTCCCAGTGGATAATACTGATAAATGAGAAAACAGTTAATAGAGGGGATTGTGTAAGCACTTAGAGAAGCTATATCAAGAAAATTTTTATGCTTTATGTGACAACGGATGACTGTAAATGCATTTTTCTGTCGTGGGCCTACACTGACAATGATAGCTTTTGGAAATATTCTCTAGGCAGACATTACATGAAAAGAAATCAACAGAAATTGAGCTTTGATAGATACGTGCAATTCTTAAGGCATTGAAGCAGTTCAATGATTACCAGTACTCATTTTTCTTCTGCTCTCCTGTTCTGCTTTTCAGCTGTACTCCACTGCGCCACAAGCTGTGGTCTCACTTGGGACAAGGTCACTATTGGTGAATACTAACAGAAGGTGGTATTGCTATCTGACAAAAATAATACCAAGTTAAAAATCTTTGTTTAGTTCCTGGTCATCCTTCCTGACTTGTTCAGTTTAAAAAAAAAAAAAACCAAACCAAACCCCACACAGTTTTACTCCTTTGAAGGCCATTAGAAGATCAGGTAAAAAAAATAGCTGTATTGTAAGGCCTGAAAGCAGAGCCTGAGAACATTGTACACAATTTCAAGTATAACTTAATCGTGGTAGTCTAGCCTGTTTGTTGAAGGGGAGAAAAAAAAAAAATCAGCCAACCAAAATCGGCAAGGAAGGTGGTTCCACACCTTTCCCAGCTGGTGTCTGTCTTTCCTTCAGAATCCTTTTTATCTGGTGGGCAATCATGTGATGCTCCTGTGAAGTTGTGTATCCCTTGCTGTTGAACAGATTTCACCTGTAGCTATAAACCAAAACTAGACCTAGAAGTGCAGTGGCTGAGTGTTCGGGTTTCCTGTATTTGTGAGACTGTTATTAACTGCTTTGAGTAAAGGAGGCAGTTATTAATCGAAGATAATCAGTCCTGCTGCTGTAGGTAAGGAATCAGCACATCTGATGCAAATTATGAGACAACAGTCTCTATGAAAGAATGGTATCTTGACTGGCTGTGGAGAAAAATAAATCTTGTAAAAATAAAATAGTGTGTTGTATTCCTCCATAAAAACAGAGTAATTTCTGAGATGGTAGGATGCTAAGATGTGGGCTGGAGGAAAGGAAGAATGGGAACAGACAGTAGGGGTACATAGTTGTTTGCAATACAATGCATGATTGCTTTTAGAGATTCTTGGGATTATTTGGAAAGGGGGACTCTTCTGGGAATGCTAATCTCTATGATTTTTGGCAGAGAGAAAGGGTAGGAGAGAAAACATGCTATATTTCAGATGCTATTATTTTAGGAAAGCACCATTGTACAGAACAGGTAGGCTAAAGCCCATCAAACTCAGTGCTGCTAGTGCATCTGTTGTGTACGTCTCTGTGTGTGTACAGCTGAAGATGTGAGATGTCCTCAGATCATTGCTGTTGTTTATTATTTATCATCAAGGTCACACCAAGGGAGAATACACCTCCACTTTAAATTTGGTGAACCTGTTTTCCATGCCAAGTCAGGGGAATTGTCAGAATGGAATGCAAGCATTAGGTTATGAGTCTTACAGTAGTGGGGAGAAGTCATACAGTGAGTCACTTTTGAATCTCTTCTACATGAAATATTTTCATTAGTATGTATGAGACAAACATTGCAACAACACACATGGGTGTCCCTCTACTGCTTTAAGCAAACGTTTTGCTTTCAGTTGCTACAGTGAGCTCAAGGTAGTATCTAACCTTACTAAAAGCTGAGATGCTTTCCAGTTAATGTATTTAACCTGACATCATTTGCAAGTAATTTGAAGACAAAGAAGTGATGCAACTATAACCACTATCATCTAACTTTTGCAAGGAAGAAGAATAGCATAGATGAGATTTTAAAACATGACACATTAATACATCTTGGGCGTAGGTGTCCTAGACATAAGGTCATCAGTTCTCTCTTTTTCTCAATCTGGTCATGTTCTTGTGTTTGAAATAAGCAGATGTCCTATATTCAACAGTTGTGCAGAATGTCATCAGAACTAGTAGTATGCAATGAATTTAAAGCAAATGCAAATGCTTTTTTTTAAAAAAAAAAAATAAAAAAAAAACATGATGTACATCATCCTAGCTGTTTACCCTGACTAACATATTCCAAGTAGCATATTTTTTAAGGAAAACTAAACAAAATAACTTCTCATTTTGAAAAGAAGCTCTTTTCTGTTTCTTCCAGTGCATTTGTGAAACAAACTGTAGAGCAACTTGTTTTGTAGAGGAAAAAAAAAGCTACCCACCCTCGCCAACCATTTGCCTGCACAGACTGAAAAGCATAACTACTGAGCTACAGTTTGTAGATTTGCTTACTTTATACCGGGGACAGGAGGGAAGAGGAAGAACAACAGTAAAAATAAGAAGTCAGAAAAATCTTTGGAAAAGACAATAGCCAAAGATTCAAATGTGGAGGTAGAAGCAGGTTTTAATTATAACATTGTTAGAAAAAATCTGCAGAAAGACTTGTCAGGTTGCAGTTCGTCCTAGTCTTGTCAATCACCGTTGTTGCCAGGCACAAAAATGAAGTGCATAAGAGAAGTTTTTACATAGAAGTTGTAGAATATTGTCACTAAGCCACCCCCACACACCCATTTTATTTCACACTGACAAAAGCCGAGATGAATGAGTTGTTGTCTGGCCCTTCCCACTTTGTATAGTCATTGGCTGGCTTGGTTCTAAAAAGGATTTAAAAAAGGGGAATAATGTGCCTTTGCCTGGGATCTGAGACTGTCAGGGTGCTGAAAAGCTAATCTGTGAGCTGCCACCATGCAGATCTCTTGGGCTGTGTGCTCTGTCTGTGTCTTAATACAAATTGAATTTCAATCTGTGGAGGGGTGGCAAATGTTTAAAAATGATGCTACAGAAATCATTCCTGAGATCACTGAAAATACAGAAATACCAATGGAGCAGGCTTTCAGCGACAACAACACAATGAACCAGGCAAAGCATGGAGGAAGACACATACAACAAGCTCCAGACCCTAACGGTAAGAAAAATAACATCGTTATTACTGTTTTGGACCCTAACAGTGTGTAAAAGAATACTTGTTACCATGTATGTTTATTTACTAAAACCTTTAGGTGTGGACCTAATGCTGTGATAGAGAGTTGCATCTACTGTTGAAGAAGTGTCAATGTAAACACTAGAAGGAATATACCAGAATTTACTGATGAAAAATGTGGTCTATCTATTGAACAATCCTTAGGTACTACAATATGCATTCCTATTCTGCCCATCTGCTCTCTGCAGGCACAACTCCAATACATAAAACCTGTAGAAGTTTTAACTTAAATTTCTCTGTGTTTTGTGCTTGCAAGCACTGCAAGGAAATATGACAAGTCATCTTTTTCTCTTTGATGTTAGGACGGGGCAGTGGGTTAACAGTGCAGATAATGGTATAAATTCTTAATATTTAGAAAGAGTCACGCTAGGGAAGTCTAAGCTCATACTGCAGAAATGGCACATGGAGGCTGCATTCAGCTAGATGAGAGAAGCGTCCTGCTCAATGTCCTTTGCCAGCAGCCAGACTTTCAGCCAGATTCCAGCAGCCAAAAAGCTGTTATGAACAGTTAAAGCACTCCCAAGGCAAATTCATGCCCACGTGAATTGGAGAAGACTTTATTTCGCAGGGTGTGCAAGCTTGGAGTCAGTTTGGCAACTTTAACAGCACTGACATACTTCATAATATACTTTCACAGCATTTGGCCAGATGTCTGACATAAGCAATGATGCAAAACTCAAGCTTTGTGTGGAGAGATGGAAGATGGGGAGTTAGCACCAAATAGTGAAAGGTAGTTTTAAGGAAGTGTTCTACTGGCAAATAGGGCGAACTTGGTATTCCAGACTGACATATTTGGCCACAAAATGCACGCAGCAATAAGTCAAACCTACAATTTCCACTATTGTGCATTGCAGATCTGAGCTAGCCTTCTTTTTCTGGGGACAACTGGAAGGGAATTGTGTTTTTCTGCTGCAGCTGTCAGTTAAGGTGTTTAAAACCATAGCATTAACAGTATTTTAAAAGCAAAAAAGTGATGTTTTTGAGAGTATGACTTTATAAGGGTCTTAAATCCTTAAAGGGGGAGCCCTCTGCTTCTCACAGGCAGCCCCACCAACCACCAGGTCACGGCAGGTAGTTTTGTTGTTACATCTGAATACCTTCATTTTTTAGCCTGTTACTACTCTGACATCAACTGGGAGGAAACTGTACCACTGATACATGCGTATTTTTTTAAGAGGAAAGGGCATTTACTTAAGAAAGAGAGAGGGACTGGACAGTTATTCAAAATATGCAATGGTCTTGCATACTTATTTTAACATCTTTAACACAAGGAATCAAAATGATGATCCAAAGTGGCCAGACCTTCCTGGGACACATGGCTTTGCACCAGACCATGAATAATTTTGCAGTATGTGGAACTTGCACACATACAGGACAGGACATATATGCACAGAAAATAAACCTCTACAGCCGAGGCAAATGCGCATGTGTTTGACTGTATCTGCCTGTGTGCTGTGGTGGTACAATACACCTGATTCAGAGCATTATTTTTTAAATAGACACAATTTTCTTGAATGCTTAGGGAACTTGGGAGGATTAGACTAAGTGCACGCGGAGTTTAGTTGTTAGCATTTTTGTCACACCATTATGACAAGGATAATTTCCTTTCATTAATGCAGTCCTTAAAACTTTTAAAACATGAAATCTTGCTAGCTGAACTTTGCTAAATATAAACCTGAGCACTAAAAATCATGTTTCTTTACTTCACAGGAAAAATAAAAATTAAGATGTGTGTACAAATACTGTTCTATCACTAATGACACAGGGTCAGAATTCTCTTTTGAGGTATTAAGGAGGGAACCACCTTGTGCACAGCAAGGAGAATGAGCCTAACACACAGCCTTCTGTTTGTAAGCTGACCTTTGAGGATCTCCACCACATGTAGCATTCCCAAGTTAAAACTATCCTTTTGACTAAAAGAACACTAACATGTTTATCTAGATGAAGTTCTTTGATATACACCTTCACAAATAAAATTCTGTGTTCCAAACAAGTAAATTAGCTAAGCATGTCACCTGGCATACGAGACACCTTTGGAAAAAGTCTGTTTCTGCAATTGGAAAGTTTTTCTAAATCCTTAATGCTAAAAAATCTTGTATTTTCTAATGTTTCATTTGCCTATAGCTATACATTGAGAAAAAGGAGAGGAAAAACCATTGTAAGGTTCCTAATAAGCCAGAAGATGCCTCTAGCTATCTGAAGCAAATTATGCGGGACATGGGATTATTGCAGAGAGCAGTAAACCTGGAAAACCTAATGCCTGAAGAGTGGGAATTCCTTAGCACTGTTGTTATCTGCTAATTTCCCCAACCTGGAACACATTATGCTAGTTAAAAATCACTTAAGAAACACTTTCTTTGTTGCAAAAGATTTTAAATCTGGAATCAACCTCTGAAGTCAATAGAGTTAAAGCAGAGCAATGGGAGAAGGTTTTGCCCACAGGTAAGCGAGGTAATCCCATGGAAATTTCCCATGAAGTAACCACTGCTTCTGGGGTTACTCTTCAGAAGCTCCACTGCCCACTCGTACAATCCTGACATGGAATTTACCTCGTGGCAAGAGAAGGATTTTATTTATCAATTTGAGTATTGTTATTCAAGGGTCTCATAACTAGAGTAGCCAAATGTTCAGAAGCAGCATGAGTGAGTCTTTGGAGATACTGTTCCCAAAATCTGCCATTCAGTATGTCCGGCTTGTATCTAGCTCAGAGCTAGATATGTGCTGCAGAAACAAGTGCTTTCTCAAGGATGGGGAAGAAAGTAGGCAGTAATTAATGTGTTTCTTGTTTGCAGATGCTTCTGACTTTAGCTGCAGAGAAATGCGAACCAACCGCTATGTCACAGAGGGGTCTTGCCGCAGCATCAAACCTGTCAAGGAACTCGTCTGCTCTGGTCAGTGTGTCCCCTCACACCTCCTTCCCAACTCTATTGGTAGAGGGAAATGGTGGCGTCAGAATGCCCTGGATTATCGCTGCATTCCTGATCCCCCTCTCAC